CTTCTGCCATATCATAAAGCAGAAGTGTTCATCTTTCCTGTACTTGCCAAATAAAGTACTTTTCAGAAATTGCCCTATTATGCATTACGTGCATTGCGATATGCTGTTAGCCCTTCATGTATGTACCCTAGAGTCAACTTTGGTCAGGAGCCCATCACTAGGAGCCTGCAACTCCCATACTAAGCATATGTCACAGTATTTTTACAGACCGGTCTATTTTAAGGCTTCTTTTACCTCGAAAAAAGTCAGTTCCTGTCTAAATGAGCACGCATCAGTAAGGGGAAAACATGGAGACCTCAGGTGGACATGACGACCTAATCTTCCGGTGAGATTATAAAGTCCGTGCTTGTGATTGGTCACTGAGGTTCCTGCGGGGGCTGAATTCGCGGTAAATTCAAACTAAAAAAAGATCGGCTGTGAAAACACCGGGACAAGAATAATCGAGAAGTTGCACACACCTAGTGATGGGCTCCTGCGTAGAAAACTAGGTTTGCTTGAATAACGTATAATCAGGAGATAACCAGGAGAGATTGGTGCAGTCATTTAGTTGATAAAGTCATCTAGTTAATCATAAATGATAAATAAATCACGTTTAAATACAGTTTTGAATGATTTGTATTGAAAATCTTTACAGTATGCTAATAAATTCTTTATGCTAATTAATTATGCTAATCAATGATGCAAATTAATGTCCAGTCAAATTGATAAGATGTCCGACCAAAATGAAGATTTGAAAGGACATATGTCCTGTTAAAGAAGAAAAATTATTTCCAGCACTGTGTTATTTCCCTGACCGGGTTTTCCTCAATGACAATTTCAGATTGTTGTGTTTTCGAATTCCTTCGGCGTAGTGTGGACAGAAAAAATTTGATGCGTTTTTCAAATTCGGACGCTTGCAATTAGAGGCCGTGAAAAATTCGACAATTCATTCTATTGCATAAAATATTTGGTATAGTTTGATAGCCTCCTCAACGGGCTTCAAGTTGATATAGGGGTTTAAAACGGACGCGCTACATCGCTTGGACGTGAGACAGCTCCACCGGTATAGTAACCTTCAAGTGTGTCCTGAGGGCTTAGTTGCTATTCGGAGTTGTGCTATTACTATAGAAACAAAAAAAAATAGATAGACTGTTAAGATCCAGTCACACTACGGATCCGAATTGTAGCCAAGATCACATTTGAATTTGGTTATTACCATGATCACGAAACCTGTAGCCAATTATAAAAGTAA